AGTTGACAAAACCTCAACCAAAGATCCAACAGCTCCTTCATGCACTGCTCCATAGCCATTATGCAATTCACAAATCAGAAAGGTACAAAATGACTAAATAGCTATGAAACATGGACATCGAAAACACGATAACGACACTAACATGTACACCAATAATAAATTTTAAAAAATAAACACACTTGCAGACATTTTTTTCTAGACCAGCAGACTACATTTCCACACCAATAGAACAACCACACTATCCTGAAATTAGCTAATAACAATTCAAACCACTAAAATAATCACACTATTTGTCAACATATGAACTCGAAAAAAGAACAATAATCGCTCTAACTTCAAAATTTAAACCTGGTCGTAAATCTGAATTAAAAAGAATGATAAATTACTTGTATCATTATCATAATTTTGAATTAAAGAGACATAAATCTCTTATATCATTGTCATAAATCTGAAATTAAGAAAATGACACGAAATAATGAAGTACATAATTAATCATTAGTGTGGGAAAAAAAAAGTAAAGAAAATTGATGAAGTTTCATGTAAGCTTCGGCTTTAGAACCTATAAAGAATTACCTAGGGACAGAAATCACCTCTGGCCACAACATTATCTAATTTCCTTATAACCCTTTTCACGGAAGAATATTGAGTTTATCCATAATTTAATAGAACAGTGCCTACAACTATATATGAATAAAGATGAAGTGGTTAAAAACACTACTCACTCGGATACAAAATGGAGTGTCCCATGCCTCCAAAGGTTCCATTGGCTCCAACTGTATATGTCTATATCTAAATTGAAAATTTGTGTTGAAATATATTACATGATAATCATAAAGATCAACATGGTGATCTAGAGGAGTCGAAGAAGCACCATAGTTTGAAATACTTTTTGTTATAGTAAGGAACTGTTTGGATTAGATTATTTGGATTATCATAACATCTAATAACATTGTTTCTACAAAATATAATACACTAAAAATGTAGCATATTCATCCAACTCATTGTGACTTACATCTTCTCTTTAGAATGGCTTATGAAAGGAAAACGAATTTGGCTTTCATAGCAATGCTGTGGAAAAAATTGGGTCAAGCTAGTAAGGAAAAAAATATTAAGATATTAGGTGACATAGAAGTTACTCTGATAAGCAAAATGAAGCAAGGGTTGTTGATCTTCAACAGCAATGGTAGCTCTCTGATGAGTTGAAATACTAAAACAACTATAGTTGTTCACAATTTCATATCTCATATTCCAATAACTAAGAAGACACAAACGCATTTGTCTGCATCAGAGTAGACACTACATTAATTAGTTCGCACCAATTATTGTTTATATAACACGATTGTACAATATAAAAACCATGAGATATCAGCAGGAACAAACACTCCTTAAAACATACACATGCATGAAAATATAAGAGAACTTACATAACGAAAAGAACAACTATCAAAAAGTCTATTGTCGACCTGCTCCCAATCATGTTAATTTGTTGTAGATTCATTGATCATCCGCAAACGGAGTTCCTTTCTTCCAGTGAAAAATTGATATGTTATTTGGTGGACACAACATAATCAATCAAGCCATGTAAAAAGATCAAACTATTATAACATTCAGTTATTCCAGTGAAAAATTGATATGTTACTTGCTGGACACAACATAATCAATCAAACCATGTAAAAAGATCAAATTATTATAACATTCATAAACTAGTGACAACAAAATATATTAATTTATAGATTGATCATGTCAAACAAAGGATAAGCAAGTTTAAACATTTAGAACATTGCAAGAAAGATGGAAATTGAAAACTATTTGTATTAGTCAATTACAAGTAAGGGCATGATTTAGTCTATATTAATTTTGAGTATAAGGGTAAATTAGGTACTGCTTAGGTATTTTCTATTCTTAGTTAGATTGTTTATTATTTGATCATCAAATAAAACTTATGTCACATTTTACACACACACAAAAAAACTTTTCCCAATATGAAAATAAAAAGATCCTAATTTTAGAACCCTAATATAAAAATAAAATAAATTAAAATTAAAAAAAAAATTCAAACTCAAATTGAACCAGATATTGATATGTAATCTTTCGATTTGAAGAGTTCTTTAAGATTCTTTGAATCTCTTCTGATGGAGATGAAGAGAATTCTAATAAATCGTGTATTTCGATCGCTTTATAAATGAGAACCATAACTCATAAATAACCTTAGAGTTATTTCTTAATTTTCAATATTTTAATTTAACTTCTTATCAAATTAGACATTGACTTATGCTTTTATACAGACACTTAATATTATTAAATCACTATATTTTAATTAATTAAATAATTACCCTAACACGTATAATGTTGCATTTGTGACCGAAAAATTCTATATATTGTCTATAAAACAAACTACTATCACATAAATAAATAAATAAATAAATAAATAAAACAATGCGCTTATGCCTTTATTATAATCAATAACATTAAGAGATTAAAGATAATGTCATTTCAGTATAAATTAGTTTTATACCATCTTTATATAGAATTAGAACATTCTATCATGTCTTATCAATATTTTAAAATTATTTTAAAATTAAATGTATGATTTGACAGAATACACGTTGATAATTGATTTATTTTACATTTTCGGTGCATATTCTTTTTTCTCTAATATTAAATGTTACACTAATTTCTGAAGAATTAGTCGATGACATCGCAGCACAAAATATATATTTGAACAGTTTTAGCAATATGATAGTCAATAGGTTGTAAAGCAAACCAAGTGTGATGTGAAATGTAACATTGATTCAACCATCCAACCAAAACGATTTTCTCTCTCTTTTCTTTTTAGTTTCTGAGATTCTATCTAAGTTTGTTACATTGGTGAGAGGAGCAAGAAAGTGAAAGAAAATTCAAGAAACTGTTTTCAGCATTTCAAATTCAAGAAACATGGCCTCTTCCAGTCGCAGCACACAATCACAAGTTCATCAGCAAACTTTTCACATTCAGGTCTTCTTCACTTTTTCTCTAAACTGGTTTCTCAGTACTGATTTTTTTTCCATTTCTGATATGGTATAGCGCCACCATTGTTTCAAGTGCAGGCACAAGATTCAAGCTTTACAAACACAACAGTTACAAGACAAGCAGTGAATTGGATTTTCCAGATTCTTTTCTACTTGCAACTGCTCTTGATTTCTGCCTTGGTCATTTCCATCACCAGGTATGATCGTACGTCAGACTCTTCAACAACCCACCATTTCCACCCTTACAAATGGTACCCTCCACTTCTAGCATCAACATTGTGCGCAGGAATTCTGGGCTTTACATGGCATTGTATCATTGCATGTTACCCGAAAGATGCACTCTGGACACCATTTTGGATGAGTCCGCTATTAACATCCTTAATGGGATTTATGTTCATGTCAATGGATACTCCATGGAGTTTGATACCCGGTTTAGGATCTTTCTTATTTTCATATTTACAATCACAGTATGTATATCGAGTCATTCGCACTAACATGATCAAATACACCGCCAAAATGTTTCAAGATTTAATAGATTTTCTTCCTGCTAAAACCAAGTGCTTGGCATTCTTATCAATCACCGTTGGTACCCTTTACTGCTGTTTTCTGGTGTATGGAATTGGAGGCGCAAGAAGAACCAAACAAGCAGACATATACATCTTACTGATCATTCTCAGCCTTGGATGGACTATGCAGGTTATGAAGAATGCAATGCAAGTCACAATTTCATGGGTCCAGTATACTCGTTTTACCAATCATATCGGCACGAACATTAGAGATGCATTTCGCGACACAATCAAACACTTAATTGGAAGTGTTTCTCTAGGCTCCATCCTTGTCCCAGTCATCGAACTCTTCCGAGGTTTTGCGCGATTATTAAATCTTTATATATGTAAAGATAATTGTTCATGCGCAATAGAACTTGCGGCGCATCTTATGACTTGGGGGAATATATGGGGTTTCGTGCACGTTGGAGCTTATCGCAAAGGGTTTGTGCAAGCTTCTTCCGAAACTTGGTGGATGTTCACGAGTAGAGCTGGATTACTGGAACTGGTAGATTTGGATATCACTGGTGCATTCTGTTTCCTGAGTGGTGTTGCAGTAGGTGCAATCTGTTGTCTTGTGTGTGGAATTTGGAGTTTCATAGTGTATGAGGACTATGCCACAGAACGATCCATATATGCTTTCTTCATTGGCTATTTCATTGTAAGAACTTAGTTACAATTATTGGGTACAAACTATCTTTTGTATATCACTTGTGTCACTAACATAAAACATTGTTGAAATGTGTGTTTGCAGTGTAGGTTAGCAATTGCATGGCCACAAGCATCTGTTTCAGCTTACTATGTAGCCTACGCGCAGAATCCAAACAACTTTCCATTTGAATATACAATTGAAGAACGGTTGAACCAGCTTCGCGTAGCTTCACAAAGTCCAAGTACACAAGAGAGGGAGGCAATTCAGGAGGAGAACTTTTAGCAGAACATGTCATCCCTTAGATTATATTGGATAGGACACTTTACTACTTGACTTACTTTTGATGTATTCTTCAAATGTGATAAATTCTTTGATAATGTTGGTGGTACTTTACTCATCTACATGAATAGAGATGAAACATGATTTTTTGATGTCGAATAAAGTTTTCTTTGATTTTCAGATATCATATAGTGTCCGTATTTAGATGTTCAAATAGCACAGAGTTGAAGCATGATCGGATACTAGGTTTTGAGGTAAGCAACACTAATTCAATGAATTGGCCGTTTCCACAATCAAACTATAAGTAACTTTCATGTAAATTTATTTAAGGTAATCAATCTGTATGACAAAAGAATATTGCGAGTTTACATAATTAAGAACTTAAGACTGATATGGTTTGTAATTGTAGAAATCCTTGACATAAACAAAATTGAAAATGATTATGACTTACAAGCAATACCAACACAAACATTACATATTGGTGGTACAACAGAATTCCAAAATGTCAGACATAGATCATTTGTGTCCCAAATGACCTCGTCCCCAGCATTCTGTACACATTATATTACCAGTTCCCCCGCAACCTACATGAGCAAGATTATCAAATCAAAAACATTAGTCAACAATAAAAGTGTTGGGCGTTATATAATTCTCATTGTGGAAGTGCATCCTTTTTAAGTGAAGCGATACCTAGGCAACGAACTTTAACGATTATGCCCTGGCTTTCCATTATGGAGTCCACGTATAGACCAGAACCAGCACAAGTGGCACAAAGCAAGGCACCTTTGGCATGGCAATCAGTGCATCGAGAATTGTTACCGATTGCTTTCTCGGCCAAAGATAGACCAACAGGCTTTTCAATGATTTCTTCTGGGATAGCTTTATCATAACAAAACAGATTTTCGAGATCACTTCTGCGTCTGTTCTCATCTTTCTTTAAACTTGAGACAGACTGAAACATAAGGAAATGGTTAGCTATATGACACTCGTTAGATAAAGAACAATATTTTGCATACCTCTAGTATGACAGCAAATGAGTTATCTAAATTGTCAAAAATCGAGAAGTGGAACCTCAAAAGTGTGTATATAGAAAGATCTACAGCTGTTACTGAAACAGTAGTATATTTGCAAAATGATTCTTTCCTCACCCTACAATGACTAGACCATACAAGTTCAAAACTAGTGGACATTAAAAAACCCCAAAATAGGTTTGCAACACAGCACGCAAAAATACCATAACTAGTTCAAAGCTGATGCACAAATAGGCAAACATACCTGAAATAATTTAATCCGATTTCAGGTTATGTCAGTGTGCAAATAGGTAGTTCATGCCATTTAACTGTCTCAATTATCACCATTTATAACAAATGTACTCCTATTTCTATATCTGTTGTCCAAATTCGCGCTAAGCTAGAACCAAGATTTTACCAGGAAAAAATAGTATGCAGTGCTCATAAATGTTACACACGCTCAGCAGAATGAACTTTCCTAATAAGATTCATCTCCTATCTTTGATTGCTCAGGTTCCAAAAACAGTTTACATATGATATGATAATGGAAAACTCCATCAATTTGTATTTCAGATACAGTTTTCTGATCTCAATTCATCAAACACTCTTTGTCCCTCTTTCTTGCCAAGATTAAACAACATTATGTAAAATCACATCACATACAAATCAATCCTCTAGTCTAAACTGTTCGCAAATGCCTGACTCGCGAGATTTTTCTAGAACTCTATCAAACATATTGACAAACCATTGCCAAAACTACATTTGCAAATATCAGGCTAAATCAAATCAAATATGTAGCAAAAGATAAGCATTAATCAAATCAAATAGTATAGTCTAAACTTTTGTAGTATTGCATAGGGTGTGTATATCCAGTATGATTCATCAATCATCCCAGTTATAACCAAACATTGGAATCTTCAAATTTGTAAAATCCTAAAGGCATCCTTAATTAAAACGAAAAACATTCAACACTACAATAATTGATGTCTAACAACTCTAGATAAAACGTAAGAGATAACTGACCCCATGAGAAGAACATGTAGATGCTGAACCATTGTTATTAGGGGAAAGGAGATAAACTTTGAAATTGGACCTGAAAGTGAATGTCTTATAGGGACTTGAAATCTTCAACGCTGAAGCGTTTGGACAAAGACATAATTTTGATGTTGTCATTTGAAGATTAGGTGAGGCCATCGGTGCTGGAAAAACATGTACTGGTCAAAATTTTGGCTTCATCCATACAACCTCGTAATCATCGCTTGTTTCAGTAACCGGGTTCTCGTAGTTCACGATGATGACCCATGGAAACCCGGATTATGAATCCGAATAGAGATTTGGATGTAGTTTGTGGACATACGAAAGCCCATTTCATTGGTTAAATTAAAAGTGGGCTTTGTGAGCCCACTAAAAGAAAAAGTTAAAAACCTAACCGGTAAGATATATTTATTTGATATGATATAAAATGTTTTTAGATATGTTAGAAAGTTTGAATTGTATTATTTAATTGTAAAATGAATAATAGTTATATAAATTCAATTATATTAAATAATTATAAAAAATAAAAATAAAAAAGAACGGAATGGAGAAAGAAAGAAAATTTATGTTTGGAAATAAGAATTTTGTCTCTTAAATTAAGACAATTATTGATTAAAATAAAATATGTATTATACTAATATTGATATCTGAGATAGAAAATTTATTTGATATGATATAAAATATATTTATATACATGTAAATTTAAAATAAGTTACTTAATTATAAAATAAAAAATGATTATATAAACTCAATTGCATCAAGTAAACATATATATATATATATATATATATATATATATATATATATATATATATATATATATATATATATATATATATATATATATATATATATATATATATATATATATATATATATATATATATATATTGATCTGACCTGATCAGGAGGGATCACGGACTGGCCACGCTTCGCCGGACGGTTATCTGTTCGCCGAGGTAAGAACGAGGAGGGGGTGTACCTGCAAGGCACTCCGACGCCCAAGTAAGAAGTTGGACAGAGAGGAAGCAATAGTACAGAAAAGGGGGCAAGAAGAGTTACCTGACCCTCTTGAAGAAGAGGGTATTTATAGAGAGACCCCAGCGCTGGGCCAACGGTCATTCGAGGTGGGCCAGACGACCAGGCCCAACCCTAATGACTGCTAGGGCTTACGTGGCGTAGTGAAGACCAGGACGTAGTCTTCGCCCTAGTTCAACCGCTCCTAGGTCTCCGGAAAGTGGGTTTGACCTGCTCTTTCGGAGGTGGGCGGTTGGCCGATGACGTGTCCCCGCGGAGGGGAGCACGTGGAGAACGTGCGCCGAGCACGTTATTCTCCCGCGGAGGGAGCCCGGGTAGTCTCGCTCGTCTGGTGTGACGGACGACGAAGGGGATGCGGCGTGATGGCTTGTGCCCGGCGGACGGTCCTGCTCGCTCGAAGGGGCGTGTGCCAGGTGTGCTCAGTTCGCCTGTTGGGCCGTATTTGGTATTGGGCCTGCCGAGGTGAGGCCCACACCGGAACAGGAGCCCCCCAAGTCGAAGCTCTGGGGAAGAGCGAGGACTTAAGGTCGTCATGTCTGGAGCGGGGGACTCGTGCGAAGGGCTCCGGTCGTCGGTAGAACGGGGAGGAGGCAGATGGAGAGACGCGACTGTCAGGCTGCTTCCACGTGTCTTGCGTTGAGCGGTCGTAGGGGCGGCTAACCTATGTCATTAATGAGCCTAGGGTCGCTTCGAGCCTCGCGCCGGGTTATAAATATGGCGGTCCCCGCTCATTCTGCTACTTTTCTCCCTGTTGATCTTTCATCGTCTCTGCCCGTCCGCCGTTCGCCGCCGATCAACGCCGTGCCATTCGCTTTTTCTTCCGTCCGCCGCCGTTACAAGTGAGTTCCTCTTCTCCCTCTCTTTTATTTTCGTCGTCTAACTGGGACGTGTGGTCGGGGCGCGATGAACGCCCCGAGGAGGGATGCGAGTTCCGCCGCGTCTGGCGAGTTTTCCGATGAATGTCCCGGGGACGGTAGGCTAGTTCCGATGAATGCCCCGGGGACAGGAGCTTTTTCTGATGAATGCCCCGAGGACGGGGGCTTTTCTCCGATGAATGCCCCGAGGACGGGGGCTTTTTCTGATGACTGCCCCGGGGAGAAGTATCTTCTCCGATGGCCGCCCCGAAGGGCTGAGGGGTCGTTCTTCGATCCCCGAGGAGGGCAGGCGGGGAGCGAATGTCTGCTCGCCGCCCCTCGGCCTTTGTCGCCCTTTCACTTGACTTGCGGTGGAAGGGTGGATTTGATCCTGGCTATCGAATTCACCGAGGTCCTCTGCTTTCAGGTGTAGATGTCGGCTCTGGTGCCGGGGATAATGGTTGAAGATGATGAACCCGAGGTCCCGGAGTATGACGACGGGCGCGTCTCCTCGCCCGAGGAGTGGGCGGCCGAGGAGCCACTTACCATCCCTTCCTGTTTTGTGGTCGACCCGTCTGACGTGTATGCCACGGTCGAGGACACGCCGCTAGGAGAGACGCAGCACTGGCAGGTGTATCGTCCGAAAGAGCACCATCGGATCTGTTCGCGCTATGGGCGGAAGATGTTCCCGATGTATGAATTTTATTTTAAAGAAGCTCGGCTCCGGTTACCGTTCTCTGCCTTCCATCTGGGGATTTTTGACTGGCTGCGTCTTGCCCCGTCTCAGCTGCACCCGAACGCTCTGGCTTTCATCCGGGCTTTCGAAGTGGTGTGTTTCTACCTCTCGGTGGAGCCGACGGTGCCGTTATTCTTTCGCATCTTTCATTTGCAGCGGCAGACGGTGCGAGGTCGTCACGGATGGGTCTCTTTCAAACAATCGACCAAAATTTTCAAAGCGTATAGTGATTCTGTCAAAGACTTCAAGGGTCGGTTCTACCTCGTCAAACCGATCACGCAGCACGGCTCGGACACTCTCTTTGACGAGGGCGAGCGCACGGTAGATGGCCAGAGGTTCCGAGCGTGGCTTCCCAAGATACATCTGCTCTGGACCTCGGAGCATTTCAGTCGAGGGACGGATAGGTATATCGTCCGGGCGGGAACCCTCGAGGAGAAGGACATGGCCGCTTATTTGAAAATAATTGCCTTTGTGCGGTCACTTCCCCCGTCGAAGCTGGTGACGCCCGACGGTCGGTACATCCTCGATGCCCAGGCGGCCGCTCTAGATTATCTAGGTAGGGATGTTTCGTTTTCCCTTGTGGTCGGGGTTTTTGATCGTCGCTAACCTATTTTTTTGTTTTCGCAGCGAACATGTCTACTGTCGACGAGCGGGTGAAGCAGTTGCGTGCTGCCAGGAGTGCCGGGGTCCCGAGGACGAGGGTGAGTCAGCTGGTCAGTCAGGAGGTCGCGACGCAGGGGGGTCAAACTTCGTCCTCGTCGCCTCAAGAGAGCCAATCCCCTGTGTCCCAAGGAGTGTCGAAGAGGCAGAGGTCCGAGGAGCCTCGGGTGGTGGATCTGACGGTCGGCGCCGTCGAGGAAGGTTATGTCGTCCCTCCCTGCCACCAGCACCCGGGGTATTTTCATGGTGCCCGTTCCCCCACCGTTTCTGCCGGGGAGGTGAAGGCTGTTCGCCAGGCTGATCGGGAGGCCCGTCGACGTGTCCTGGCTGAGGACTTGGCCGCGATGATGCGGACGTTTACGACGGCTCTCGTGCTGAACGAGGAGGGCTGCTCTGCTGCTGAGCTGTCCAAACTGCAAGGGGATCTCACCTTCACGCAGTCGCGGTTGGCCAAGCTCACTGAGGAGTTGGAGAAGAGCCAGAAGGACGTTGCCGAGGAGCGGAAACGGGCAGAGGGTGCTGAGGGGAAGGTGAGTTCGCTGGAGGAGAAGCTGGGGATAGCGACGGCCGAGGTGCAGGCGCTGAAGGTTCGTGCGGAGGTTCTGGATAGCGCTGTTCGTCCGGCCGAGGACGAGACTGAGGGGGATCGGCGTTTAATCACCCGTGCTGACTTGATCGCCCGTATCCGGGTGTTGGAGAGCGATTGTCTGGAAGCCGTTGAGGTCGGGTTCAAGAATGCGGTCGAGCAGATTCAGGTCGCCAACCCTGGTGTCGAGCTGGTTGTGGACGGGATAGGGCCGTACCACGAGATCGTCGATGGGAGGGTGATCGATCCTTATTTCGTTATCCCCGAGGAGGAAACCGTGGCTGCTGACCGAGCTGATGAGGAAGTGTAGGTTGCCGGGCCTGCGTGCTCGTTGTTTTGTGGCCTGCGTGCCGGTGTTTATCTTTTGCTTTGGGCCTGCGTGCTCGTTTTTGTACTATTGACTACTGGGCTGGTGCCCGCTTTTGTTAAATATATTTATCATGGATTTTCTAAGTGTGCGCTCGTTGTTTGCATGTTGTTTTATGCTCGTTTTTCGTATTTGTTCGAATGCCTTTGATGTGTATGACATTTCTTGTAGATTTTCTAAGTGTTCGCTCGGTGTGTTTAGCTCGACAATTTGTTACCGGTAGTGTAGGGGACTGGCCGGTTTGGCCGGGGATGTAGCCGGGCCTTTTCGGGGGTAGTTTTCCCCGGGGCGTGGACGGCCCATCGCGAGCTGGGTGTCCTGCCTGTTTTGGTACGGCGACGAGGAGCCTCGGTCGAGGTATTCCCTGCCGAGCAAGGCCTTCTGCCCGCGCACACGAGAGGCAGGGCTTGCTTTCTTTGATTTCTTTGGTCGTTGGTGGACGCGGGGGTGTGCGGTGGTACCATGTCGCCCCCCCAGTGGCCGGGACGATTGGTCGTCGCGGGCAATGTGTTAACTGTAGTACCGCTTAAGCTTCGCGGCGTTCCATGGTCGAGCTAATTGTTCACCGTGTAGGTTTTCGAGGTAATAGGCCCCGTGTTCCGTTTTGTCCCGGACTCGGTATGGGCCTTCCCAGTTCGCCGCCAGTTTGCCCTCGTGGGAGTCCTTCTGGTTTCTGCGTAGAACTAAGTCTCCAGTTTGAAAATCGCGTCTTATGACTTTGTGGTTATGGCGAAGTGCTACTTGTTGCTTCAGCCGGGCTTCCCGATGGTGTGTGCTAGGAAATAATGTCGGAGTCGGCGTGCCGCTGTTACGAGGGCCAGGGCGACTTTCTCGATCAGCTGGTATCGGGCCTCCGGGCCGTGGAGGGCTTTACTAGTAAAGTAAATGGGCTTTTGTCCTTCCCCGGCTTCGCTCACG